TGTGCGCCAACAGGCCCGCCGTTGCCGTAGCCATCGACATAGCTGTCGCGCTGCGTCTGTCTTTGGGGAAAGTAGCCGCTGACGGACGAGAAGCGGTTCTGGTCGTTGTATCCGCCGCCGCCGCCGCCATAGTAGCTGCTCCGTCGGCTCGCGTAGCTCATGACGTCGGTCTGGTCGGCGCGCATTGACTGCGCGCGGCGTCGGTATTCGCCATCAATGGCAGCCTCGAAGGAGCGGATCGTGTCGAGTGGTCGCTCCCATCGCGAGCGCGTGGGGTTGGAGAGATCGGGATCGGCTGGTACTGGTTAGATAACGAATGTACGCAGCGCTGACGACACGACTTACCAATGGGATTACCGGCTGAGTCGGTATGGTTGAAGGAGCGGAGAGAGGCGAGAGTGGGCTTGGTGAGGGCTTCGGCGACTGGGGCAGGTTAGCCACGATAAGATAGACAGGGTGCACACGACGGCATACTGGGCTGCTGTTCGTTCATGGCGGCGTTGGGGTTCGCCTTTGAGTTTGGGTCGTAGTGGTCAGAGTATTTGCGCTGGTGCTTGGTCGGGCTTTTGGGCGACGCGGGAGTCTCGCGGCTCTTGTTGCTCTTGTTGCTGTGGAAGCTGAGACCGCGCGGGCGCGATGGCTGCTGTGCCGCTTGCTCCATTCTTGCAACGATGGGCGATACCCAGTTTTTTCTGCGGAGCGTCTAACGAGTCGTGCGAGCCGGGTAACTCGGTGGAGCTGGTGCTGTAATGTGGCGCGTGGTGAGCAAGTGGAGCGTGCGGCGTATCGTAGTAACTGAGACGAGAGATGTCGCAGAAGCAAATTGATGAAGGATCAAGAATGCGTGCCGGTAGAGCTATGGAAACTGGGTGTTAACACACGAAAGGCGGACCAAGTCTAGGCTGCGTAGTAAGACAACGTACCTAGGTAGTGACGCGCGGTCCATTCACTCTTCGACGCCGAGACGCGACTCGTCATCAAGCCACGACCAGACTAAACGGTTGGGGAATATCACCATCACCCACTCTGAAACAAAAGTACCGAGCAAGGGTGTCTATCTACTCTTATCGCTCTTCCGTGCACTTCTCCCAGCCTTACTCTACAATGATACTCCCACTCCACCGCGACCGTCCGTTCATCTGTGAGACAATGGAGGGTCAAGTCTCACTGCACAGCCTACTAGTTCAACCCAAACGCCCCTCGTATCTCCCGTTAGCTGGCAAATTTAGACAGCGTCAATAGTTTACTTCCGGAAGCGGACGCTATCTTCTCACCCGCACCTCCACGCCAGCCACCGCGAAACTCAATTCACCATCTCAATTACATTCAAGAGAAGCACCACCTGTTAATTGCGCAGCACAGCACAATCTGGCTATCACGGCACCTGCACTGCTGTCGCAGCACCTTTGATCTTCGTCGTGCATCCCGCAAATGCTATCTATGGTACACCATGCAGACTAGTGGCTGAGGCGTCCCTTCAATCCAGCAACCAGCAGAAATCTAGCCGCGTAGCCGGACTCTTGCAGAATCTCTGACAAACATGGACAGCTTGCATTTTGCCGCTCTTCTTCGTGTGTCAAATCCCATCTTTAACAAAAGGCATGGAAGATCGCGACATGGGTTACGCGCGGGGCTGTGGATACTATCATCGTCACCTAGGATACGTCGAGCACTTCGATAGGCACGGCGCGGCTTTGCCGACGTTTCCAACGCGCCAAGATTTCCACTGTTAACTCGGGTGGGCTTGCATCACTTTGCTCCCCGTGAACATGACCCTTGCGCGCTAGCCATCATTTATTCGTTCATGAGTGCTATATGCTCATCATATCCATTACATATGCTTTATCCTTTTTCACGTCCCCCCACTAGCTGTGTGTAGGCATATTGACCGATGCCTTCGTCGCGACCGCATCTTCACTCCTCCAAAGACTTGTTACGGTCTTCTGTTGTGTGTAGAACTGGAGACCTGGCTTTCCGTAGAAAGTGTTTGCACCGCCGCCTGCGACCGACTTCTTGTTGCCAGTGAAGGAGAACATGGGGAGCTGCTGATATTAGCGATTATTCGTTACGTTTGGTTACAAAGAAAACTTACAGGTACGGGAATGGGTACGTTGATACCAACCTGACCGGCTTCAATCTCACGCTGGAACTTGCCCGCAGTGGCACCTGAGCGAGTGAAGATGGCGGTACCGTTACCATACTCGTTTGCGTTGATCATGTCGATAGCCTCGTCGATGGTCTCGACGTTTAGGCAGACAAGGACAGGGCCGAAGATCTCCTCGGTGTAGCACTTCATGTGTGGCTTGACGTTGGCGATGATGGTAGGACCGACCTGAACAGCCCAGTCAGTATGCGATCATTCTCACATATCAGCAAGACTTACCCAGTTGCCGTTGGCGTACTTGTCGGACGGAGGCTTCTGACCACGTCCGTCAAGGAGGATAGTCGCACCCTCTTCCTCGGCGCTCGCAATAAGGTCTTCAATCCTCTTCTTGGACTGAGGGCTGATGACGGGACCAAGATCGGCGCCCTCCTCAAAACCGCCGTTCATCGACAGTTCCTTCGCGCGCTCAGCGATCTCAGGAACCCATTCCTTGGTCTCGCCGATCATGACCAGAGTGCTCAAAGCCATGCATCGCTGACCAGCAGCACCAAAGGCAGCACCGGCAATCGCGTTCAGGGCATGGTTCTTGTTGCAGTCGGGAAGGACAGCAGCGTGGTTCTTTGCACCCAAGTTGGCCTGAACACGCTTGCCCTGGGCCGATGCGCGCGAGTAGATGTATTCTCCAGCCTTGTTGCTACCAACGAAGCTTATCGCCTTGATGCGGGGCTCGTCGATGATGAAGTCAACTGTCTTGGCTGAACCGTGTACAATGTTGATTACACCAGCGGGGAATCCAGCCTTCTCCGCAAGCTCGGCAAGGATCATGCAAGCGCCGGGGTCGCGTTCCGAAGGTTTGATAACGACAGTGTTACCGGTAACAGCAGCGATGGGAATGGTCCAGAGGGGAATCATAGCGGGGAAGTCTGGGGTAGCACATTAGCACAAATCTCATTTACCGCCAGTCGTGCACTTACTGAAAGGGCAAATGGCAGCTACAACACCCAATGGTTCTCTGTAGCTGCGTGTCTCCATGTCCTTGGCGACCTCGAGGACTTCGCCAGTCATTTGTGTTGTGATACCGCATGCGGTTTCCGCAACCTGCAAGCCACGGAGCACATCACCACGCGCGTCTCCAAATGTCTTGCCCTGTTCCAGGGTGATGCTAGCAGCCAAACGGTCCCAGTTCTCGCGAATCAAGTGTGTGTATTTGAACAGAATCTGCTGCCTGTGGAGCAAGCTGGTCTCTTTCCATGGCTTGAAGGCCTTCTCGGCGCTGTCCACCGCGGCCTTGAGCTCCTCGTCTGTGCTCTGCGGCACGCGTGTAACCAGGTTGTTGGTCGCGGGGTCGTGTAGATCTATCCATTGTGTTGCTTTCGATGCCACGAACTTGTTGTCGAGGAAGTTTGGTGTGTCTGCGGGCGACTGGATTGGCTCGTGGTTCATGGGGTACGACTCGGCCGCAGACGATGCGGGCTTCAGGTGCTGCGCCGTGGCATGCAGTCGCCGTGCGGCGACTTTACTTTGGCTGACTGGCGACGACATTCTCGTACAGAGAGGGGCCGCGCGCGCGACAGACGAGCGAGCACTCAATGTTGGGAGGCGTGAAAGCGCGCGACGAGAGAACATGATCGGGAGCAAGGTAAGCTCAACGCAACCTTGGAAGACGCAATTGAAGTTGGGCAAGCTTCTGCAGGATCAAGCAATGGAGATTGAACCTAATCAAAGAAGAAACCACGTAGTAAACAACCGGCACTTGCGGCTATAGGGAAAGTGAATCCGGGTTGCCTTTCATAGCAGCAGGGTGTACAGCCGAACTCTCCCCGCAATGCCAGGTGCGCATCCGTCGATAACCAGCTCCCGAGGTCGGTGGTCTCTCTTCCGCGGCGTGTGCAGCGTTTATGTCATCAACCGCCCCACCTTCACATACACTGATACACATCTTGACATTTCACATGGCTGTCGAGTTGGAGAGTGTATCTTTTATCCATATTCTTACATGCAAAATATGGTCAAGAACCCTGGGACGCCGCACCTTCTTCGTAGGAGCGCATACACTTTTGTCCGTTGCCCAAACATTATCCAGCACATTCAAGATACCTAGGTATGCTTCCCGTAGCTAGGGTCGTAGAGCATCCCGATATTGACCTCCAGAAGTGCGCGTTACATGAACTAGATTGGGTCTTCTTGCAGCCGTTGCTGTTACTCAGTATCCTGTGGTAAAGTAGACTTTTGAGTAGCATGCTCAGCGGCGTATTGCTCTGTGCGTGCAGGCTCGAGATCATAGCTGATCTGGTACCTCTACAGATGTTGCTGTCGTAGATGTCGTTGCTGCAGCCTGCCTTTTGACCATGGAGCGACTCCTAGGTTCGTTCCAAAAGTAGACACGGTCCAATACAGAGGTGTGATCGCGAGCGACGACGGTGCCCAGACTGCGACCGTTTTTTTTTCCACAGACTCTGTGTTTGTTCCGTTTGGTGCCATAGGTCTTGACATGGCCCACCTACTTTGGGACTCTCTTCGTGATGGCGCTTCAACTTCATGGTTAGTCGACGGATACGGGAACACATCCGGGATGTCGATTTGGGGTTACATTTTGCGGGGCACATGTGCATGGTGGAGACGCTAGAATAAACTGGGACTCGCTGAAGCGCAAAGTCAGTGTCGATTGGATAGATATCTACTCTAACGGTTGGGGGGGGGGGGGGGGGGGGGGGGGGGGGGGGGGGGGGGGGGGGGGGGGGGGGGGGGGGGGGGCTC